TGGTGTAAAAGGAGGGCTCTGATTTAAAAGGGTGCTTTTAATATGAAAGGGGGCTTCTAATGTTAAGAAAGCTCCTGATGTGAAGAGTAGGGGGCTTCTAATGTGAAAAGGAGGGGGCTGCTAATGTAAAGGGTGGTCCTGATGTGAAGGGGCTCATACTGAGCCTGATGAAGGGGACGCTGGGTAGCCCCGAAACGTTGCTTTCTGACAACATGCGTCAACATTCTTCATATGCACTGATGTGAAGGGGGGCCTTCAATATAAAGGGAGGAATTCAATTTTTGTGTGCTTTTGCATTGTGTCCCCCCCTAAAATCCATTACATTTTATTCTGGGGTCCCTGTAGATTTTGCATACTTTTAAAGGGTGCCGTGACTGAAAAAAGGTTGAGCAATGCTGCATTAGATGTCTTCCCTTAGACCCGTCTGCTAGGACACTGCAAATAGTAACAATAGAGTACATAGTATTTAACCTGTAGCAGATGTTACATTGTTATATGACTATGGGGAAGTCGGACCTTTGCCTGCAGCTCTCTTCTTAAACCAGCAGAATATTATCTGACGAAGGATTCGGTGCAGTAAAATTGTTACTTCTATAGGACAACAATTGTTTTTTTTAATTGTTTAGATCACAGTTTATTGTCTCATGAGCTTTTAGAGAGTTCATTGAATACAACAGTGTCACATTAGTTATGTAACCCGCATAGTCTTAATAAGTATAATCAGATAACTATATAAAATGTAATCTGCCAATCATGGATAAAATGAAACATAGTACAAAGAAACAAGATCACATTGTTAACTGTTCTTTAGGTGAATGCTAATTATATATGTGTGTGATGATAGCGCAACCCTTTTAATGATATCACACCCAGGATCTCTGTGCCATGCGTCGTCTTTCTATATTTTATTAATATCAATTATTATTTTTATTGTCTTCTTTTTTTTCCCCCCCATACCTTGACCACAGGATGCCATAAACAGATTGGAAGATGAGCTTAGGAATACAAAGAGTGAAATGGCAAGGTATCTGAAAGAGTATCAGGATCTGCTCAATGTCAAGATGGCGCTGGATATAGAAATTGCTGCATACAGGTAGGATGCTGCACCGACTGACTGCAAAGACGTCACGACGTCGTGTCCTCTTCATATCGTTTCTATACAGCAGAGAGTTTGCTGTCAGCCTTTCAGCAGTCATTTTTTTTATGAGGCAGTCAGCACTCATTTTTTTATGAGGCAGTTCAGTGCTGCCAGCCTCAGCCCTTGTGGTCATCAGATATCTATGATGAGATGACATGATAAAAAAGTTTGTAGAATGGGGTAGCTAGTTTTTTTTTTTTTTATCGATCAAAATAACTATATAAAATATATACAAATATGATTTAAAAAATTGGGCGTATAGGAACATTATACTCCAATACTATACTATATTGCTGGTCTGTTAACCAGCTGTCTATCACAAAGGAACCACTTTGCTTAGGCCTTCCAAAAACGGGGAGGATTTTAGCACTGGTGCTCCCCCTGTGTCTGCCTATGATGAGGGATTAAGTAAGACTATGAATATTAAAGCTGAACACAATCCTTCCCTTCAGTCTTGCACAGTTGTACCGGCTCCTCTATTGGGCTGAAATTGCTTTCTCTGATTTCACTTCACACTGTGAGCTTCTCACAATGTGCATTAGAAGCTGCAGCAAGTCAGATAGAGCCTCCCTCATTTCCTGGATGGAGGACATCCAGCATCATCTAGGCTTTCCACCCGAGCTTGACTGTTCCTGGCCCGCCCCTTTCAGTCCTATCAATCATAGAGGGCATCACATGTGGGTGTTACCTAGGATGGTTTGCATGCAAATACAGACTGCCTAGGAATGGTCACTCCTTCAGTCTAACATCCTCCAGACTCATCATAGCATATAGGTATTTTCATAACTCCTCCCAAGGGCCAGCCCACTGGCTCCGGGCTGAGGGCTATTGGGAGGAGTAGTGAGCCAGGCTGCTGTGATGTGGTCAGGAGGCTATACACTGGCCTCTCCCACTTGCCATGATCTGCCTGCATTGCACAAAGAAGTATAGAGACCCAGCGATGAAGTCAATTTAAAATGTAATTTAAAATTGTCATTAGCATGTTGATGAGGGGGGACTTACACATGGCCCTTAAGGAATGGAGTTGTGAAGATTTGAAGCAGAACTCCTGGCACCAATTATTCTTAACCCTTGCAGTGGAGCTACCTCCACACTGCAAGGGTTAACGGATCTTTTTTTTTTCTAGGTAAGAAAAAAAAAGTTATACTCAACTAAGAGCCCCCCCCCCCCTCTGCTGCAGCGGTCTAAGGTCCCTAAATCATTACCTAGTATACACAGTGTACTGTATAGGACATGAGGACGCAGCAGATTGCTGCAGAGAAGGAGGAGACGACAGGCTGTAGGGAGCTCTGCGGGGATCATGTACATCTTCTAAAGTTTATTTTAATCTAGACAAAAAACAGAAGTTAACCGTTGGAGTGCTTTAATAAAGTCATTAAATAAGATATAGCCAGTTAAAAAGTTCAACGACATCTATAACGTCCTCTGTGGTTTTATAAGGAGACATGAGCAGGCTGCGGTTCTTTAGAAGGGGAACGGTTATTCTGAGACATGGCAATAATGGTTGGGTGGCTCTGACTTCACAATGAGTATCATTCAGTTGTCTCTTCTGATGCTGTGCTTCGTCTACGTCTGTTACAGGAAGTTACTGGAAGGGGAAGAGACCAGACTGTGCTTTTCCGGTGTCGGGGCCATCACCAGTGGATACACACAAGCTGCCCCGGTGTTTGGGCGCTCAGCCTATAGCCTGCAGAGCAGCTCCTACATGTCCACTCGCTCATTTCCTACCTACTACTCCAGAGATGTCCAAGAAGAACAGCTTGATGTAGAAGAGACCATTAAGTCCACCAGGGCAGAAGAAGCAAAGGCAGAAGCCCCAGAGGAGAAAGAAGAGGCTGCAGAGGGCGAGGAGGGTGAAGGAGAAGGCGAAGAGGAAGGAGAAGAGGAGGCAGAGGGAGAAGGTAAACATGTTCAGCAAAATGGCTGATGGTGGTTAAAGCTAAACTCCGGGCTACGCGATATTGTCTAAATACAAAAGCCATTTTAATTCTTACTTGAATCTTGGTGGTCTCTGTGTATTTCTTCCAGATCTGTGCAGTAATCAAGGCAAAAACGTTGCCTTTGTGCAGGAGCTTCCTATAATAAAGACCGGTCACCGCTGATCTCTCTCCTTGTGCAGGGTGACTGGTCTTGTCTCTGCCCCCTCCTGTAATAAAGACAGCTCACTGCTGCTCTCTCTCCTTGTGCAGGGTGACTGGTCTTGTCTCCGCCCCTTCCTGTAATAAAAAACGGTCAATGCTGCTCTCCCTCTTTGTGCAGGGTGACTGGTCTTGTCTCCGCCCCTTCCTGTAATAAAAAAACGGTCACTGCTGCTCTCCCTCTTTGTGTAGGGTGATTGGTCTTACTTCTGCCCCTTCCTGTAATAAAGACCGGTCACTGCTGCTCTCTCTTCTTGTGCAGGATGACTGGTCTTGTCTCCGCCCCTCCTGTAGTTTCTTGTTGCAGGTGGGGCCTGCTGGGTCCCTCCCATAGCTTTGCTTTCTGCACAGGCTATGCGCAGCACATTGTAAAAGTAGTAGTGACACCATCAAAGTAATACATGGGTTTGTAAAGGCATACGGGGCAGTTAGCGAGGGCAGCCAATGAATATACTTTTTCAGTCTAATGTATGCCAAAAGTGTTGGAGGACTGCCCCATGCATCATGACATTTACCGACAAGTAGGGCACCGGGAAGAGACAGCAGATGTAAGGTAGTAGGTAGAATCACCGATTATTTGTTATACCTTATTGGTAGCCAACCAAGGTGTTTTACAAGAAGTGTCCTGGATCATTCTGTTAAGATTTATTAAAACAGAATCAAGATACAATAACTTTAATGCCCTCGCTAACTGGAGAGATCAGCATTGGGGTGACTTGAATCTAATGTTATTCAACATTCCCTTGACAGTATAATCAAACTCAATTTGTAATTTAGATTTGTCGATCCACCCTGCCCTCCCTTCCCTGAAGGCCGAAGACAAAAAATCACAGTATACGTCCTCTAAATCCGCCAGTCTTTGGTCTGGTCACATCAGGGTAATTGGTCTGGCCACATCAGGGTCCTCTTTTTCCTCATGTTGTGGGTGGGTTCTGAATGCTGCAGAGAGCTGTGCCACATTCTGATGCATTCGCCCCTAACTCTAGGGTGGCCTGATGATGCCTTCCCAGGGGGCAGGTCCTTGACACTCTGGGCTTACAGGAAGTGGATTGAATGATGCAGGGTGTCATTCATCCCAAAAGGTGAATGTCCAAGTGCGGTAAGTCTGCAGAGGGAAGTGCTGGAGATAGGGTGAGTGTCTGGCAATCAATATTTAAAAGTCATAGTAAGCTAGAGATGGCCTTCAATAAATACATGTCTTATCTAAACTTATATTATCGCATTTCTTACTTTGGGATATAAAATATTATCCACCCCCCAATAAAAATATTAAATGGGGTTTCTCTGTAAAAAAATAAATCAAAGCAACTGGAATTTCAAGGAAAAATACAGCAAGTCCAGTTGCTTTGATTTTTTTTTTTTTTTTACAGATATACCATGACCTGGATGAATGAGAACATTCACAGGATTAAATGAGGTTGCGCTGTGTATCGCCTGCACTTATAAATTCATGTTTTTCAAAGAACTTGCTTAGGCCAACCAGCAACCGAAGTCCCTAAAGATACCACCTGATATCTTGTCTGTCCTAAGGCTATTGGCTGAGACTCAGAGCTCCACAGGACCAAAGGTCCATTTGTGGTCAAGAGTAGTCAATTATCTATTTGGGTCTATCTATCCTAGAATCATACTGATTAATGTATTATTTTTTGTAATTTTTTACATCCGCAGGAGGAGAAGAGGAGGAGGGAGAAGAAGAGGAAGGTAAAGAAGAAGAGGGTAAAGAAGAAGAAGAGGGTGAGGAAGCCGAGGAAGAGGGTGAGGAAGAAAAAGAAGAAGAAGCCGCAGAAGAAGAAAGTAAAGCTAAAAAATAAGTTCCTTGCTGTTCATGCCAAACACATGAATTATTTCCCAGCTAATAAAACCTTCTTGTCACTAACACACTCCATATCCCCAGTGACCCACAGATCACATCTAATCCTACAGATCACCCCCTAATCACCTTTCTGTTTGTGTTGCCTTCAGTGTCTAGCGTTTGGACCCACCAAGCTTTAAGCAGGGTCCTAACCCCACCCTGGCCCGTCCTCCCCGGTTGAGCATGGTTAACACAGGTGAGTCCAGGGCCCGGAGCTTCCAGTCTTTTCGCACTCAGTGCAGAGAACCTTATGACATCCATAACATGTCTTCCTCTTTTCAAACTCTTGTTTTTTTACCAGGCTTCTCCTTTAAATCAAGATGAAAATGGCACATAGCCATAAGCCATACATTTAAATGGCAAGATGCCCCCTCAAAACTGATATCTATGAATACCAGGGGTATAAAGACCCACTGTGGCTGCAACATTAAGATCACTTTAATACCAAGCCATGTGGTGACATACCCCTGCTGAATTCCCTATAGAAATATATGGAAAAAACAGCAGCGGGTCAGTGACCGGATTAAGAAGTATGATCCTATGTAAGATGCAATACACCTGCAGTATCACAGATCAGAGCCAGGGTTTCTAGTGGGAAATACCCTTCCTGCTCCCCAAGAGGCTTAGGGCATCAGAGGACGTCTGAGCCTGCTGGTTTTCACCCCAAAGCGGCATAATATTAGTTTTTGGGTGGAGGTGCATATTTTCACCGGCGCTCTGATTTTAGGGAAGGCTGAAATTCTGCTTCCGAAGAACCGTAGCTCCGGAGGTGCTTTATCCTCATCATCGTTTGCAAGGCAGTGTTGCACTTTTGCCCCACCCCCAGCACTGCTGACTGCAAGGCAATGGTTAGCTGCAGCTAATGAATATGTTGGTGGCTTCTGTGGATCTGTGTGTACTTTAATCGCAATAAAGAGACAAAACAGCATCCAGTCAGCAAACTGAATATGTGTCATAGCAGTGTGTATTTCTTTCTTGTCACATACGAGTGGAAGGGGCTGGATGAGTTATTGCAGTAAGACATAGCGGGTGAAGTTCATGGTACTGATTGCTATTCATTCTACACCACCGGCATCAACATTACTGTGGAATTGGATTAACATATCCTTTAAATCCGAACTAGGCAGATATAAAAACACCAATCAACAGAGCTTTTTGTTGCTTAAAAATTAATTGAATTGAATTCTTGAATGAAACTGGTTGTGGAAAGTGGAACTGAACTCAAGCAAATTAAGATTTGCTTTGTTATAGGGAAAAATTTTAAATGTTGATGGTGCCTAAGCAGTACCCCAAAGAAATGTTCCTTCTCCCTGGAATTCCTCCCAAAAAATAGCAGTGCACTTCCTGGTATATGAGGCTGCCTAAGCACTCCTGTACCTACAGCCTCATGGCTGTATATCTGCTTTGTGAGATCTAGGGCACTGCTGCCTTTGAGTGATTCTCAGCAGATCTGGTGATGTCGCTACTGTCTGGCTCACTGTTCTCCTTTCTGGGGGCTCTAACATTAGGAAGCAAAAGCCCTGCCTCTACAAAGATGGCAGCCTCCATACAGAGTTACTGTGTAGAACAAAGCATGTTAAGTCAGTAATGGGGAAAGATTAGCTGCCAGGAGAACACAGGCAATACTGCTGACTAGTCCTTTGTCCTCTGCCTGTTTTTTGGGGGGCACAGCATACAGAGTTCAGTTCCAGTTTACGTACCCTAAGCTGTCTTGCTAATAGCCTCCTGTAATACCATATGGAGGGTTTAAAATACAAGTTCTTGAAATGAGTTATGTTTCTTATATCAGACAGAACAGACTAGACTTGTAGGGATGTCACTGCTCACTCACCATACTGTATCAGGACAACAGGAACAGGGTAGGACTACAAAAATCTCATATTTGCCATATCATAGATGGACAGGGTTCTGTAACTGATAGGAATACAGCACAGGCAGATAGCATAGAAATTTATATCCTAAGATTTCCAGAAAGATACTTTTTTTTTAAATCTGACCTAACAAAATCCTTTAAATGGGATATGTTACAGACCAAAAGGGAGCAAATAAGTTGCAGCTTACGTACTCCTTAGCTGGTACCTAGAGGCGGCATCCGTATGTTGCCAGGTTTAAAATGTTAATATACTGAATGGCCCAGACCATCACCTTGATGCATCTTTCATTCCATTACACTGGGCATCTCTGACCAGTTGGGGGTATCCATTGCAGGGGGCAGAGGTTGCTGAGGAAATGGGGTACTTTGCAGGTTAAAGAAAGGGACACGCAGTCAACTCTAGGTACTTAACATCAAGTACATATTCTCTTAAAAAATACCATAATATTCTGCAGATCACGAATCAGGCTGAGAGTAGTAGGGTGTGTCTTCCTACTCATGATGCCCTCCAATACTGCATTTACATACAGCCTACTGCCCAGGTATAGCAAGGGAGGGTGCTTGAAGTGGCAGTAATAGACAAGGCCGGATTTCCCAGAAGGCCAACCAAGGCCCGGCCTTGGGGCAGCAGGGTAGTGGAATTCCTATCTCCTGACGCCCGGGACACAGTTAGTTGTTTTCTACAGGGCTAAATGTACAGTGGGAAAGCCACCGCTTGTTTTGTACAAGTGATCTCGGCGATGTCATCCTCCATACAGGGGGGCGCATTGAGGAACCTGGCATTGGGGCAGCAGAGAAAGTAAATCCGGCCCTGGTAATAGACACACAATGGCACTGTGCATGGTTGAATCAAAATAAGTAAAGGGTCACCAGCACTCCAACAATGATGAAATCTGTGTAAATTTATTTACATAGCATCACATAGACTGGTGTGCCCAATTACCTAGATAAGTGTACGGCACCCCATAGCATCACATATTGTAGGTCAAATTAGCCAGTGTTTCGGGACCACACAGGGTCCCTTTTTCAAGGTGACAATGTGAGTAATGAGAAAGCAGAATTATATAGACACTAGCAGCCCACCTCGCAGAATGCTTTGCTGCTGTTTGGAGAAGACGTCAATTTCTACAAAGATCATGATGTCTTTTTTGGGAACGTGGGCAGTAAAATCTCTGTCCAAGCAAAGTATCAGTTAGAAAATAAGACGTCAACGTGATCTTTTCTACTCTAGTTAAAGGTCAAGCATACCATAGAGAAAGCCTTTCAGATAACTCCTAGTTTGTATTTGTCATCTTCATGGCATCTATAATGATTTTTATGGTAAGTAGACTGTGGCGAGAAATAAATCATGCAAAGGTGACATGCAAGACCAGCCATATACCTCACATGGCCAAGGACTCATACAGCAGATGTTGCAATAGCAGGGCTGGCCCTGTTTCAGCTTGAACCCTAAATAAACTCCCAGAGAGTTCTAGGACAACAACCACAATGATTAAAACTTTGAAGGTCTAGGAATTGGGAAAACACAACATTGGAAGAACTTTGACATGGCTCTTGATCATGCTTGTTCTCACACTCTGTGATGGACTTTGTGGGAGTACACCATTCGGGTCACTTAATTTAAGCTTCGAGGAGCTCAGGCAAAGTACCCTGGTTTTGCCAGTGCCTTCCAATGGGTACAGGAAGGGGATACAGGAGACTTATATGTTGCGCTTCTCACTGATCCTTCCTCTATGTGTCACCCATTCACAGCAAGAGCATGCCCTTGGAGCATTCATAACTTTTCAGAAGCGAAGAACTGAGATGGGCCAGTGGATACTATCTTCCTTTTCAGAATTCTTTACCTTTCCAACAAATAAACTTGCAAAACAGAACAGCAGTATTCATTTGGCACAGTTTGATTTTTTGGCATATAAACCTTGATAACATCACAAACACGTTGTCACTTGGGAAGAACAAAGGGCTTTTTTGCATAATTTCTAGCATGGGGAAAAGTGGGGTAGTCTTTAGAGGGAAGTACTGAGATCACACATTTCAAAAATAATTCCCTCTACATGTCTGTGGGTGACTATTCCCAATACTTCCTGCCGCTGATCAATACTGAGGCAAGAACTTGCCATCTGAAATAGAATGTTGTCACACAATCTCTATTTTCCAATATAAGGCTGGTGCCAATTGTCTGTTCAGTGCATAAACATGCACACTCAACCAAAACAATTTTGCATGCTTTTATTGTGATAATTCGACAATTTCCATACTTGGGAAGCCTTACCTCCATCACTATCATATTATTATTATTATTATACAGGATTTATACAGCGCCAACAGTTTGTGAAGCGCTTTACAATATAAGGAAGACATTACAATCAAAATACAATTCAAGACAAGATGGTAAGGAGGGCCCTGCCCGTGAGCGCTTACAATCTAAAGGGAGGGCCAAGTGATACATGAGGAGGTGGCTATGAGGGGATGAATTGTTTGAGAAAGTGATAGTTCAGTGGTTAGGTTGAGGTGGGATAGGCTTCCATGAAGAGATTAGTCTTAAGGGATCACCTAAAGGCAGTCAGAGTGGGAGATAGATGGACAGGTTGGGGTAGAGAGTTCCATAGGATGGGAGAAACTCTAGTGAAGTCCTGGAGGCGAGCGTGGCAGAAGTTGACGAGGGAGCTGGAAAGCAGGAGGTCTTTTGAAGAGCGGAGGGGACGTTTAGGGTGATACTTTGAGACAAGGTTTGAGATGTAGCCGGGGGCAGAGTAGTGGATGGCTTTGTAAGTGGTTGTTAATATTTTGAATTTTATCCTTTGGGCTATTGGAAGCCAATGTAGGGATTCATAGAGAGTGGTTGCAGACACTGAACGGTTCGTTAGGTGGATGAGTCTGGCAGCAGAATTCATATAGACTGAAGGGGGGATAGCCTGTGTAGAGGTAGGCCAATGAGGAGGGAGTTTCAATAGTGAAGACGAGATATAATAGGTAAGTGGATGAGTAGTTTTGGGGTTCCATTGGTGAGGAAGGGATGTATTTTGGAGATGTCACGAGGGTGAAGGCAGCAGGATTTGGATAGTGATTGGATATGGGGAAGAAAGGTGAGGTCCGAGTCAAGGATGACACCTAAGACCTTGGCATGGGGGGAGGGATGGATAGTTGTGTTAACTATCTCATGGGAAATGTTTGGGGGAGAGTGCAGGGGCAGGAGGAAATATCATGAGCTCAGTTTTTGAAAGGTTGAGTTTTAAGAAGTGTTGTGACATCCAGACGGATATGTCAGTTAGTAGATTAGTGACACGCAAGGACACGGGAAAGCCGCATAGCATTTACTTACCTTGTCCCTCGAGCCGCGCTGTGTTCTGCGGCCGATGCCGGCTTCCGTCTTCCAGGTTCCGTCCCTTGCGAGTGTACGCGTCGCAGGGGGG